CCATTTTGAGGATTGTTGTATTTTGGGGTTGATCATGTTGGGGTTCCCTCATTTTGGGATACTACCCTTTGTAGGGATTGTTCGGGGTTATGTGGGGTTACTTATGAGAGATATACAGGGGATACCAGGGCTCCCAGTCAGTTGCACGAAATGCAGCATGCACCATGATGCCGTAGGAGACTATCCACACTCTGAAACATCTTTTTCCCTGGGGTCGTGCTCGCCCTGAACCCGTGGGACCCAAACTAGCCTCTACATAAGCCTCAGATCAATGTCTTAATCAACGCTATATAACCCCTTGTAAGCTGCTGAATATATCCCTATATAACCTCAATATAGCCTTTTGTTATGAACTTATAAACCTTCTATAGCTCCTTATAGCCTCCTAAACCCTGAGCCTTAAACCCTGGACCCCACTGTGAGTGTGCTGCATGTGCCAGCCACGGCGTCGAATTCATCGGCGTCATCGCACATGGCTGCACTCCCTAACGATGGCATGATGTCATGGTCTTCGGTGGTCATTGACAATGTAGCCGGGCCTCAGGAAGGCATGCTACCAGGCCCGGAGAACAGGCCTGCTGACATCGACACAGCATGGTATGTTTCATGGACAGCTGGGATCAGTCAAGATGAAGACATTGTCCAGCAACTTGGTGAAGAGGGCTTACAGCAATATCGAAGCCGTTACATGTTGGAGAATCTGCAGTGCAGTGGAATAGACGAGGGATCGGTGGAGGGACAGCTGCTCGAGGGATGATGACAGCGACCTGAAGAAGACCCACTGAGAGCCGCGTGGCAGACCACGCCGCCTGGGCGAACGGCCCTTTCCCCGAAAGTATAATATATTTATGTTTTGATATACAATTATGTTCTAATATACGAGTATAATATACCATGATTTACAACAATATGCTACCATAATCTACTATAATATACTATACAACCCCTAACCCCTCACCCCTAAACCCGAAAAGAAAAACAAACGAACGCCTGCAGGCTCTGGCACCGGCTGAAAGGCCAAGCGCCGGGCCTGGCCATGAGCCGAGGACTCGGCGACACTCTGGGCCCGGAGCCTGGGAGATGGGAAGCCGTGAAGATTATGGGTTTGGAGTTGAAGGTTTAGGGTTTGGGGTTTAAGGTTCAGGGTGTAAGGCTTAGGGTTTATTAAGGTTTGGGGTGCCAGGTTTGGGGTTTAAGGTTTAGGGTTTAAGGTTTGGGATGTAAGGTTTAGGGTTTAAGGTTTAGGGTTTAGGATTTAAGGTTTAGGGTTTCGGATTTGAGGTTTAGGGTCTTTAGGGTTTAGGGTTTAAGGTTTAGGATTTAAGGTTTAGGGTTTATGTAGGGTTATGTACGCCTCTCTAGGGCTCTATACAGTCTATACAGGCATATAGAGTGTATGTAGGGGCATATAGGGTTTATGCAGGGCTTCTGTAGGGTTATGTACGGCTCTATAGTAGGCTTCTTTCCTGCTGAGGTCGTACTCGTTCATGGTGAGTGTGTAGGTGGGCCTAGACGTGAGGTAGATTCAGTTACAACCAAGCTCAGGTCACTCCTGCAATCCTGCGCGTTTTGCCCATGACGCCCCAAATATGCACATAACCAGGTCTCCCAGCGGCCTCCATTGATGGGATTGCCATCCTCCACTGAGCTCAGGCAAAGCTTGCGGCCTCTCGCCTGAGGCGACCGCGTATGAGCTGATGCTTGTCCCGCAGGACGCCTATTAACAGTCTGAAAGTTCTTGGCCAAGTCTTGGGGTCTGTAGCCTGCCGGTCTGACTCGGACCCGTTCATTTTGAAAGAGCAAATTTGCTGTTTTTTTTGAGACATCCCGGAATGCCTGAAACCTTGGTGACAGGAGGATGTGGTCGCAGTGGTGGGCTCTGACGGTGTCTTCGACGTGCTGTCTGATGCGGAGGCCCATGGGACGCACAAGAATCACAGGAGATGCAACCTGTAATGGGCTGAAGCAGTTGTTAACGGCGTGATACACACAGAAACAGAGGTTCAGTGCAGATAGACATCATCCATGGGCCAACAGTCAGCACGGCCGTGCTCTCCCACATTTGACACCATGTCATTTGCGACCTGTGAAGAATCTAGTACTCATCAAAAAGTTTGCTCCAGCATATCCACTCCCCACATTATCATTTACCATGAAGCCCACCGAAAACAGGCAATGCGCACCTCGCCTCACTCTGTAACAGTTGAGCTTGATAATCTTCATACCATGGTGACATATAGCCCTTACTATGACCTGTAATATAGACTGTCACAGGGTGGGGGCAGTACCCAATGCATATACCCTTAACCCTAAAGCTTCAACCCTAGACCCTAAAACCCTAAACCCTAAAACCTAAAACCTAAAACCTAAAACCCTAAGACCCTAAAACCCCAAAGCCTTAACCCTCATAATCTGAGGTTCTGCACTGCTGCCGCCAATTTATTGAAGGTCGAGAAGCGACCAAGGTGAGGGCACTGAAGCTGGCGACTGGCATGGCTTACTGGGGGTTGGTAGGGAAGATGTGAATGTAATCCCAGTGGGTTAGTAGAGAGAAAGGGAAAATATTGGGGTAACGTAGCGAAAATGGACAAGAAAATGGAAACTACTACATCATAATGGGCTATATATTGGATTATAGCAGGGAACAAGGGAATATAGTCCCTGTATAATTCTTATAGAGGGATTATGTTTCCTCATTTCTGCCAACCCTAGCAAGATGGAAGGGTTAACGTTGAATTTCCGATAGTTCAGGTTGTGGGGTCATGAAGTGTTTTGGGTTGTTTAGGCATCGAGTTTAAGTTAAGGGTTTACCATGGTCTTCAAGTTTGGGGCTTCGTTTTTGTACCCATTGATCCTAGATTTTTGCGTGCCCGTCTGGAAAAATGAGCAACGGTAATGCTGGTAGTAGTTATTAAGATAAAGACTGTCAGTTTCCTGTCATAGTAGGTCGAGTCGTATATGGTAATGGTTAGCAGTAGGAATAATTACGCATGTTTTCAGTGCTACTGTAAAAACTTAAGAGACAGGCGGGTGTGCTGAAGCCCTGTTTGTGTGGAGCAGGAAGTTCCCCAGGTTCAATTCTATGGCAGGAAAACTCAACCAGCAATACAAGAGCTTAATGTAACCTTGATAGCATTTGAAGGCCTGGATCCTTGTGGCATTTTCCTCTATTGATAGACAACTCCCTTTACAATGCCTGGAAGGCAGAAGTGGGGGTTTCCGTAAAAGGGGGCCCAACTATTGGCCTCCAAGTACTACACTCTAATCTTGATGTTGAAGACTCCTAAAACGGATCCTTGATTTTGAGCCCGATTGTGCTAGCCTGCTGACCACGGAGGAATGGACCCCGGTAGTAGCCTCTACATACTCAATAACAATATCGTAGCGTATCCATTTTCTTTTTCAGCCCCCTACACATGCCACATTATCCCCCTATTATATGAGCTTCTGTTGGATTTCCTGTTGATCTCCTTTATCATAGTTGCCATTGTCTTTGCCTCATCTTCATTCCCTGATGAACAGTTCAGACAACAATCCAACCCTAAACCCTAAATTGTAGGTTCCATTTTCTTTTCCATTATCCCTATATAACCCCAATATAACCCCAATATTACCCCAATATTACCCCAACATTATCCCAATATTACCCCAATACAACCCTTGGGAGGCTGCAGAAGCTGTCACGGCTTCGGCGCGCCGCGTCTGGCAGCAGCGAGGCATTTTGCCAGTGCCTGCGAATGGGGTTTTCCCATAATTAGGGGTACTGTTTTGGGGCCAAGGATTATAGTATTTTGGGGTCTATATTGGGGTTCCCTTATTTTGGGAAACTACCAAATCCCAGAGAGAACCCCTCAATGGAGGAGCATGCCGTAAATCATATTTGGGATCCTGATATCATGTATGGTATATCCCTGACTGAATGGGTATCGGGCTCCCTAAGAGCGTTCAGAACCATCAGAATATTGCGTTCGATTCACCAGATGAAAACCATATAGCCAACACTCATCGAAAGCCCTAGCAGTGGTTCTAGCTACAAGATGGAATATGGTAGCAGTTGCATGCAAAATCAATGATGATGCAGTCCTTGCTGCCTGGCTCGTGTCAAGACGCCAGGTGCCTACGTGGACGACTGCACCTGTGTAGTTCTATTTCTCTGAAGAGGGCCTGGAGGGATAGGCGACATATTCTGCTGAGGTCAAGGGTGTACCGGTTTGAGGTTCACCTGTAAAACAGATTTTTATCAAGGTTTTCAGCTAGGTTGCAGTCCATTCCTCCTGTGCCACCGGGCGAAATTATCTAGAAAATTGGAGGTTGTAATCGCAATGTGCGGCCTGTTGCTTTGAAACTCGCTTGTGCCCCAAGTGCACTGCGAAAAAGTTGCTGACGCCAAAACGGCTGGATTACCTGCAAACGCACCGCATTGAAAAAGCAACCATGCCTGACATGACATTGAACAAGCTTGTGGTTTGTTTCAACCTGAGGACTTTCTGGCCTCTTGGGTAGGTGTTTGCAAGAAGGGAGGAAGGCCCGGATTTAAGCTGACAGAACTTCAGGTTCTTGCTATGAATAAGACCTGGATGGGTAGTTTTGCACAAATTCTTGCCATTTTGTTCTTGTTGCGTGTTCGCGAAGCTCCACTAGATCTGGGCCACCCGGCCTGACCCCACATGGTGCCGAGTCCAGTAAAGAGTCCCAACACGGCTTTGCTTCAGGCTTTGGATCTATGGAATAGTAGTAAGTAGTAACAATACTCGTAGTAACAACAATGGTAATAACAATAATTGTAGTAACCATACGGTTGCTTCAGGACACACCTGACAGTATCCAGTTTCAATGTATGTTGGAATCAGAATGTGCCTGATGTCTACACCCACCACAGTAGCATGACCTGAAGTATTCTGCCATTCCGCCCTTCCGGCTTTATCTCCCCTATAGTAGTCTCCTATGTAGTCCCGTATATAATCCCCTTTACGGAGTTTAGATTATGGCTCCCATGCAAGGCGAAAGCCAAATTGGCTGAGTGGAAGGCTCTCCCGCCCGAGAAGAAGCGGGGATGCGTCACCCCTTCCGCATTCTGCTCTGCTTCGCTGAATGATGTGATGATGTGATAGTCTGATGGAAAGGAAATATGCATCTCCGCGTGCCCCTGGCATATAGCTTCTTCCTGTCCAGGACCTTGAAAAGCAGGTTTCCTGCCTTTGAAACTCAGGAGCTGTGACGACCGAGTTATTTGCAGTTCAAGCTGCGCAGCATGAGCCCAGGGTCGGAGCATCTAAAGCTAGCAGGAAGCCTCATAGTGGTGGTGCTAAGACCGGACGCGAACAATGCGCGGGAAGCAACAAACTAAGTCTTAACAAACTAAGTCTTAACACCCTACGCCCTCAGCCCTGACGTCCAGACTGGCCCAACCAAAATGATGTTTTCCATAATAAATAGAGGGACCCAATACTATAGTCCTTATGAAAGGGGCCCCCAAAAAAGGTACCTGTAACATTGGGAAACCCTGAACCCTAACCCTAAATAGTAGATTCCATGTTTCTCTGCATTATCCCAATATGTGAACAGTATCCCCCTAAACCCTACATAGTAGTTTCCATTTTCTTTTCCATTATCCCAATACATCTCCATTATCCCGCCTAGGCCTTAAATAGTAGTTTGCCTCATCCAAACAATACTGATAGATCCCAATGTATCCTCTAAACCCTAAACCCCAAACCCCTAAAGCTTTAAACCGATTTTCGGAAGTCCCCCCTAAACCCCTAAACCCCTAAACCCCTAAACCCCTAAACCCTAAACCCTAAACCCTATCCCCCCTAATTGCCAGGTCCTTGTCCACAACGCGTCGGTGAGGCGCATTCTCGTCACGAAGCTCGGCCTGATTTTCTTCCCGCAAAGGCTTAGGAGTTTAGGGGTTCAGGGTTTGCGGGTTGTGGGGTTGCTGTTAAGGAACTTAAATTAAGTTACCATAATGGGTATATATAGTAAATAATAGGGTTTCCCCAATATAGTAACTTCATTTAAGGTCCTTAACATCAACCCAGGTTTTGGGGTAAGAGGGGTTTGGGGTTTGGGGTTTAGGTGCAGGTTTAGGGGCTTCGGGTGTAGGGTTCATCGTTGCAAGTTTTGAGCTTCATTGAAAGTGGCTTCAAGGGGGGAGGCCAGACATAGATGTCCGTTAACAGGTAGGTGGAGTATACACAACACAGAAAGATGTGTATACCTGGAAACGGATTCATACATGCATAAAAATTGAGTACTGCCCCCCCTCAGTAACAGTTGGATGATAAATATAATATGGTTATACATCGCCCTTAATAGGACCCCTAATATAGAGGGCAGTACCCAACATAAAAACATTGACGTGTACATATACACCTGTATGAAGCCGGCTTCCACATGGGGATTGGTCTAAATTCCCTATAACACGGGGTCCTCTATTTGGGTTCCCATTATAATACGGGGCCCTATATAAATGTCCTCCATTTTGGGAACAGTAATTTAGGGAAACTACCACATGATTTTTCATGTTCTTTTCCATTGGATTCTCCATGTTTGGCATACTATGCTGAAAATTATATGTTCCCTACATGACCCGTTTGATTTTCCATGTTCTTTTCCATTTGATTCTCCATTGTTAACATAGTATCCCTAAACCCGAGACCCTACATAATCGTTGTTCATCAAAAATGTCATTTCATTTGTCATGGTCTTTCCCGCTTGAACCTCCGCTGTTGGTGTGATATCGCAAGCCCTACCTATTCCGTATTTGGTCCCTATGTAATCCCTATATCATCCTTATATACACCTCCCCCGCATATATCCTAAACTCTTAGCCCTAAGCAGTAGCTTTTGTTTTCTTTTCCATTCTCTCTATATAACCCTGTATATCCTAAGCCCTAAGCCCCAAGTAATAGCTTCCATTTTCTTTTCCACTATCCCTACATAACCGTTGTATAACCCCTAAACCCCGAACCCTAAGCCCTTGTTATGCCAGGCCA